GTGATCAGCAATCCTGCTGTGCCACCTTTGGCTATCAAGGCCACATCGTGGTGTGGCTTATATGGTTCAGAATCATTTTTAGTCAGGTTTGCATGAAGTTTTTTACCCAGATTATTGGCGAGAATTTGGCTATAGTTTCCATCCTTTATGTCCTATCATCAATTAAAGAACCAGTCTTGGATCTTGTACTGATGTGAATTCTGCATAATGAAGTTACATGTTCCACCTTGTCCTCAGTATTGGAATCTATTGCTGAAATTTCATTCCTAACATGATGGTGCCATGGAAATGACTGAGTTAGGAGGGCAGAGACTGGATGGATGGGATTAGTACCTTTATAAAATAGACTCGTTGAAACTCACCCAGTTCCTCCATCATGTAAGTTCCCAGTGAAAACTATACAATCTGTGAATCAGGTAGTATCTTTTACTGGACATTGGATATTAGACTTTCCAAGGCTCCAGAACTGTGACATATACATTTATGTTGTCTTTGAGCTGCACATTTTTGGTATTTTCTTGTAGCAGCTAACAGGATCCTAGCTTATCCTGGAATGAAATTTCTTTCTTCTAAACTTTCATTACAATTGTGTGTCAGTAAATGGGAAAATAATCATGAATTTCCTTTTTTTGTTTCTGTTGGCTCTTTGGGTTACTAACTAAATTTTGTACCAACCTAAACTTAAAAAAAATTTTATTTGAAAGGCAGAGTTAGAGAGAAGGGGAGAAAAAGGAAGATATCTTCCATGTGCTGGTTCACTTTCCTAATAGCCACAATATTTGGGCCAGTCTGAAGCCAGGTGGTTGGAACTAGGTACAGATTTTTCATGTGGGTGGCAGGAGCCAAAATATTGGTCTATTGCCAATATTGCAAAATTTGGTGCAATAATGCACCAAAATATTGGTGCATTATTAGGGAACTGGATTGTAAATGGAGTTCCCAGGCCTTGAGCACATACCCCTATAGGATTCTGTTGTCACAGGTAGTTGCTTAACTCACTGTGCCACAACACAGGTATCTGATACCTAATTTTCAAATGTCTGTATTTGATTTTATCAGTAGGACTGTAAGTATTCTGAGTGTAAGCCACATTATCTGCTTTGCTTTATCCCAGCAACTTGGAAACATCTTGTACCCAGCATTTATCAATGGGTACTTATCTCTTGATATGGTTGAATTCTTTTTGCATTGTGTCTGATTAGCTGTTGTTAGGAAATGTTGATTGCAAACAATGGACCATTCGTCTTGTAAGCCATTTTAATGTAATTATACTTAATCCTCATAGCTCACCCATAAACATTTATATCTCCATTTTATATGCAATTTATTATTTGCTAAGAGTCAACAAAGTTGAAATGACAGGATTTTTTAAACATTAATTTTGCTTATTTGAAAGACAAAAACAGAGATGTGGAGAGACAGAAAAATCATTCACTTGCTGTTTTGTTTCCCATTGGCCACAATGTTCAGGAGGCTGGGCCAGGCCAAGGCCTGGAACTCCACCCAGGTCTCCACAAAGGGTGTCAAGGGGACAAGTAACTGTGCAGCCATCTGCTGCCTCACAGGCATAGAAACAGGGAGCTGGAAAAGCAGAACAGACCGGACCCAAACGGGATGCCACTGCTGCAGGCAGAAGCTGAAGTTGGTTCCCGAGGCAACAGGATTATTTTATTATTCCTAAGTATAAAGAAATTTTCTGAAGTTCATAATTTCCATGTTATATTAAAAGTGCAGGACATGACATTTATGTACAATATCAGCTCTCCAAGGTTTTAGAAAAAAATTTCTGCTTGGAAATACAAAGAGATCTATACTCAGTGCCATGGTAAAAATTTCATTTTCAAAACAAATAGATATTTCTGATTCATAACTCATAAGATGTTTACTTAAAAAAAAACTGTAGCATTGATTGTCCTCCAGCACAGAACCTGTTTGTGTTCAGATGGTGCTTTTTGAACACTGCTTCTGGAAGGAGAAATGAAGGAGTTAGGACATTGGGCTAAGGAAGGATTCAAAGTCAATGAACTAATTTCCAATGTGGAGAATGTGGGCTGAATCACTTAAAGATCCTCTGAGGAGTCATTCTGAAAATGCCTCACTAATACTTCATCAGAAGGTGAAAAACTAATGCATTCCTATTGGTTTTTATCCCACGCACTTAGAATATTGTTCCTCGCGTCTTAAACACTTTTGAAGTCTTTGGGTGCTTAGGTTTGGACTTCAGGGCTTCCCAAAACTTTACAGAACACTCTGGACAAAAAAAGCCATCCCTTACATTTGCTGGATATAGGATAGTAGCAATGTGCGTAGAACTGTCCAGCATAACTATGCTGAAATTATGATGCCAAAGAGCAGCTGAGGCATAAGGTTACATGAGGGGCTGCTACCACTGGATTTTTGCATAGGTTAATTTACATCACCTCACCCTTTATAACAAATAATTCAGCAAGAGAGAGAGCTCCTTGGAGGGGATGGCATGGACACATGTAGTAGAATTTCATGTCAGAGAAATCAGTTGAACTGTGAGGATGAATGTACTTTAGGGTTAATATGCAGATGCAGATGGTATTTGAGACTGAGGGGACAGGGGGGCTAAGACTTCAGTACCTGACATCTCCACTCTGTAGTTACTGCATGTGCATCCCAATATTTCTTGCTCATTAAAGTTAAAATTTTAATAGATGCGTTTACATCCCTTAGCCAAGATTTGGGAAAGGACAGCTACAATTTATATACCCTGTTAATAAAGGTGATTTTCTCACAAGAGTGTGCAACAATGCAGCTTCACTGATTTTTTTAATTGTCTTTTCAGGAGATCTAGGAAAGAAGAATCTGCTATTTGGTAAAATGTTATGAAATTAATTATCTTGAGGGGACTGAGGAAAATTTATAAGGTGCAAGAAACTACATACCACAACATACAAGGAAAGAACAACTTTGGAAGGTGGATAGTGATGGCAAGGCTGCCTAATTCTCTAGGCATTTAAAACAAACTTTCTTTTTTCATTCATAAAATGTTGGAGGGCTTCAATGTAGTTGTTCATTTTTCTCACGTTCATCAGGTGTGAAAGAATAAGGGCACTCAAAGTTTGAGATTCACTTATGCAAGAACTTCCTATTACCATCCAAAATAACATTATTAAAGGAAAACTGCTTACTAGAGCAGTGGTACAGTGGTACAGGGACCAGCAATTTGTACTTCCACATGCAGTTGAATGCTACAGGCCAGGTACACATATATAATATATACACATATGTAACATAGGTAAATTGGAGACTACTTGAAATCACGAAGAAGTCTGCTTTTAGCAATGCATTTGAGTTTTCTATTTTTCAAGAAGGAATAGTCACAGACATCTGAAGCAATTACTTCAAACAATGTTGGCCAAACTTGAGCCACTATTTAATCATCTGTGGTTTCGCCCCATTTAATGTTAACTTTAAATAATTATATACATAAACATCAATAAAATCATGGATTTGAGAATCCCATATTTTATCCAATACATCTATTATTAAGATGAAAAATATGGTTAGGTACTGCTTATAATTATCTCAAAGAGCTATACAAAAACAACCAAAGCCCTCACAGGTGCTCCATATTGAGTTGTAATGAAGTGGTACCATCACTGAAACAATTTGGAAGTAAAAGAAAGCAAAAGAGCCAAGTCGTTCCACTCGATGCTTTATTTTCCACATATAAACAACAGACAAGATACACTTTTCCACAGTAGAGCACATAATACTGCACTTTCTTAAAGAAGAGTCTTTGTTCAATAAAGACATAAAAAGTAATTTTCCAGATGAAGTGAGCCAGCAAATTTCTAAAGCTGATAGAAGGAAGCCAATACACTCAGAGGCACATCAGCAATAGCATGCAAGTCAACATGTTGTCACAGCAATCTGAAGCTAGTCACTGTGTGGTTTTTAATCTCAGTGTTGGCACTTACGTTCATAAAGTGCCTAGATGCCTGGGATAGCTCTGGTCTTTAAGTAAAGCATGATTAGATAAATTCAGAGTTGTTAAGGACCCCTATCTATGTACACCTATATAAGTATTTAAAAACATGTGGTGATATTATAATACAGAAAAAAGATATGAACTCACATATGAATGTTCACTTTGAAAATGAAGCCCATAGGAATACTTTAAGAATTACAACACTTACAAGACCACCAAAGACCATGGATGAAGCTCACAATATTAAGAACATATAATTGGTATATACATTTCCATCCTTTATTCTTTTGTATAGGTGGGTATTACCTCACCAAATGCAAGAACACGTAAGTCCTCACTTTTGTGTCCTGTGGATTTAGTTGCCTTAGATAATCACATTGGTGAACTGAACCTACTTTGGACGCATACCTTTAATATGCAGATCCTTGTCCTAACGTCTGTCACTCATTCTTTTCTGACTTCATCTGTGTTTTCTTTAGCCATCTGAATCAAGTCAGTTCCTGAAGAGAGTCTGAAATTCTATCCAAAGTCCTGTCTAATGTCTTCAGCCCCACTGACCATCCCTTTTGTCTGAAGAACTCAGTTGTTTACAATCAGAAGTCATGCAGTCTGGCTTTCAATTCTGTATACTTTTTTTTCTAGTATGGCTCCATGCTAATACCTTGTCATTGGATTTTAATCTCCTTGAAAGCAGTAATAATACTTACTCCTCTTTAGTTCACATTATTGAATTAAATGATGAACACAAGACAGCTAGAGCAATTGTCATGCATGATGCATACATGAGAGATTTTTCTGACCTTCACTTGGCACATTTAATGTAGTGTTCTTTGCTGGGCCAAGAGAACTGTTAAAAAAAAAAAACAAAATCAGCTATTTTATTATGAGGATAGTCTACAATTGGTAATTTTAGCATGAAGAATTTAGAATGTATTCTTCAATTTGGAACTCATTGATTTATTCATTCACTTTACAGATCCTTAGGGATGCTACCCAAGTTTAGATAATTTTTGAAATATAAAGATGAAACAGACTCATCCTCAAGCGATTTCTTGTTTGGTTGTTTATTAGGAATTATGTGACAATGACAAAGCCTGAAGGCTCAGTGTCGGGGCCCTCAGCAAGACAGTTTTCAGAGTGAACACACAGAACTGTAAGCATCATCACAGAATAATTGAGAATCACTCCAGGTGGAGCCAGAGAGAGTATATTTTAAGACAAGTTCCTGGGTAATTCTGATGCATGCCAAGGAGTGGTTCATTTCTTCTGGTTAGGGAGTAAATACTTGGGTTCTTTGTTGAGGTCTCTTTCAACATTCTAGGAATATAAAGGATGTTCTTGAATTCTGAATTTAGATTTCTGATGAGTCTATTCTACCACCCTACTGTGTTTATTTTTCTGTCAAAGCTTCCTCTTCATCAGTATCAGTCCATCATATTTTTCAAGAACTTCACATTTTCTTTTTCCCTTTACCATTTCCTCTCCCTGGAAATCAGAAAATGGGTTCATGCACATGAATTAGGTCCATTAGTCTAGAAGGAACAAGATAGTCACTTATAGATGCCATTTCAGGGTTCGGGTTGCTGGAGCTCTGGTGAACTCATTGCTTATCCTGTCCACTTAACTTTGGTAATTTTTAAAGTGCTTTCATTTCCATTATTTTAGCTGGACTTGACCTAGATGCTTCTCCTTGAAGACATACAGGCAGTCATAATATGAATTTTATTTCCTTGCTGGATCCAAAGATGAAAGTTCTGGACAGTATCATGCTTTAGTTGCATTCTTTTATTCAGCTTTTATTTATTTCCTGCATTGCATTAACTGTCTTACACTGGATTTTCCATGAATGTCTTTTATGTAAAATAATGTAAACAGGCCAGGCAATACAACACTGTGTTCAAACATTAATGATTACTCTTGTGAAAACAGTTATTTGAATATTGAAATTAGGACCATGCAGATCTAACTTAAGTCAAATAAGTATTAGTACAAATAAGCATTTCAGTAGCAAAATTAATCCCCAATGTGCAGTTCCTATAAATGAGGATGCCAACTGAGTTATTAAAGATTATGTTTAGAAACAAAACATATAAGTAAAATATCAGTCTTATCAAGCTTTTTTCCTGTGGTGAATGTAAGCTTTAAATTAATTGATAATTATAGTTCACAATGTAGAAGAACATATAGATTTTTATACTAACACTTATCTTAAGATACTTACATATATCATTAGCAATTTTTTAACACATATTTCTGACACTCCAATTCATATCCTTAGTAATACCAAGCAGTTATATCTCGAGAAATATTACATTGGTCTTAGCTTATTCATTGAATGGTGACTTTTCTGAGAATGGGAAGAGCCTTTTGTTTTCTCAGATGAAATTCTACAGCAGTTTTATACATTTCCGTGCCATTGTCTTGGATTCTGATTGACACTTCTGAAATGCAAACCTTTATTTTGTGTGATGAAGCAAAGCCATATTAAGCTACTCAGCTCTACCCTTAATTCTTACCACATACACGTGGTCATAAGTCAAACCTTTTCTCGTAAGTTAAAGGTTTAGTGAAGAAGATGCTGAGTGGGTGTTCCTGCCTGGGAGGCATTCCCTCTGGAGGGTGAGAGTATGATGGGAGAGTATTATGAGAAGAAAAGAATTATTTATCACTACAGAACTCTAGAAGATTTCTCCTTGTGTATTACCGTAAAAACACACAAAACTCTTCCAAGCCTTGGTTTTGAAGGATATTTTCTACAGACAGCCAAAGATAAATAGAAACTAGAGATTTTCATGTGCGCTTCTTAGGGGAATTTATGATTACAAAATTTGAAAAAAAATTAGTTGTACCTGGGTCTGATGAGTTGCTTCTGGAACTCTGGTATTCACGTCCAGTAATCTTACCGCACACACAAATATTCCAGCTCCTTGTGAGTCATAATTCAGAACCAAAAACAATATTGAGTATAATACTTATTATTCTTTGGATCACAAATACTTAAAATCTTCTTTCCAAAGGGTTATTCGTTTGTTTCTATCATGTGTAGAGATCTAATGTATTAACTTCCTTATTCTTTTAGAACAGAGCAAACCCATGAAGACCAAACCATACCAACACACATTGCCCTTAACATTCTAACATAGTGAAACAATTCAAGTGATACAAACTAAACAGTTACTTTCAATTAAGTTTCATAGCTTTAACTTTTTCTTTGATTTTACTGGCTGTTTTGTTGAAACTAGCCATTGCTTTGATATGTTATCAAAGCATATTGTTCTATGTAATTCATTCATTTGAATGTAGAGTTTAGATTTTTCCTCTTTAGCATTTTGGAATATTTGTGTTGTGTTTGGTGCTCTAGGAATTAACACTGATGAAGAACACCTAGCAGGAAGTTAAGGATTTCTGTTTGCTCAATTTATTTGTATTATGTGCCGTTTCCTCAGTTATCTTGGGGAGCATGAACCAACCAAAGATGGTCAGCAATTAATGAAACTGGAAGTAATAAACTAGTGCCCAGCAGTTTTCTTCCTTGAGGTTCTTAATATGCCTTACTCCATTAGCAAATTTTAATTTAGATCCTTAGTTTTCAGTTGATTGCAGATTGTGATTATTTATGAAAATATTTTATGATTTAATATAGTGTGATGAATAACACATTAAAAGTTATTTCTTTTCTGTGTGGATCTAGATATCCATTGGATAGCATACAGAAATATTAATTTTATAATGGCATCATTTTAGAAATTACATTCTTCTAAACTTCCCAACTGAGTAAAGCTAGTATATTATTAGCAAGTGATTTTTAAAATTTAAAATAAAAAATAAGACTATATATTAAATTTCCAAGGATGAAAATGTATTGTGTTCTCAACATATATAACAAACCATATTAGTTAATGATGTTATGTCTGCAAACCATACACTATAAAATTAGTTAACCTAGTAAGTCACAAGACTTTAACTAACGTAAAAAAAAAAACCTTTCCTATTTTCTCTTTCTGGTAGCCATAGGATGAGCAGCATTAAATCTATTTTCTGTACATATTATTACGGAAATTGCAGCTATAATGAGACTGTATCATGATGATGTTGGTTAAGTACCTGTTAGTATGCTTGAAAAAACGTACATTTCCCTTCCTTTCTCAATGAAATAGCAGAATATATTCCCATCTCCCTCTGGCAAGTGATTTGTGCACATGTATATGTGTCCGTATGCTCCTGCTCATGTGCCTGTGTGAGCTTGCGTTGGGTTCCTCTGGTGTTCTATCTACATGATCTCAAGCAAGATTAATATTATATCCTGAATGAAAACTCAGTTGTAATTGTGTGGCTGCTGTTAAGCAGACAGTTTTGGGGTATTTTCTGTGAACGTTCAGATTTGTTTACTGACTCAAGGACAGGAAAGGTCGTTCTTCTTGGAGTGGAAGAGATCAGATGGCAGAGGAAGTCTGGATGATAACATTTTACAACACGAGTTTCCATAACGAAGTGATGTATTTTCATTAAGAAGGTAAGGAAGAATAATTAGCATTAGTAATCATATTTTAGAAGATATCTGTGAAGTAGGCTGGAGAAAGAAACCTGTTAACACATAGGGTGCTTAAATGTGTGAATATTTCTTAATACAGTCATCAAAAATAAGCCATTAGTGAACTATCACCGAGGCTATACTTGCATTTGTTGAATGGTCAAATCTCAGTAGGTGAGTCATTTGAGAGAGATTAAAGTAGGATCGGGGAAAGAAGTCGAGGGCAAATTTACATCAGTCTAGCAATCATTGAAATAGCATGTCTAGGTCATAACTATAGAGATGAGATGAGATGCTGATAACGTTATCAGTTTTAACTGTTGAGATAAAGCCAACAAGATTTTTCATGTTTTGATTTAGAGTCTGTAAAAAATATAATTATCATTTGAAAAAAATAATGAAACCTACAAGTGTAAAGCAGGCAGGAAAGAAGGTCAATTGAAGGCAAAAAAAAAAAAAAAAATCCATAGACTACAATTCTCTGTAGGAGGTTTTCATTCAAAGTATAATAGTCAGGTTCTGACTGATTCGAATTACAACTGAGCTTTTGCAAATGTTTCAGACTTTCAAAATTAAGCAGAAAAATTCACCAGGCAAGGCTCAGTAACATATATATATATATATATATATAGATTATAAATACACAAGAATCCTCAAAAAGGAATCTTTTCCCTAAAAGTTTCAGGGAAAAAGTCAAATCTTATTTTTAAATACTTGGTCTTATCATGGCCATGGTTTTCAATGTTAATGATACAGCAGTCTGTATGTTTACAATGATTTAATCTGTGTTAAGATGTTAATCCTAAGGCTCTAAGGGCTGATAAGGTTGCATTGTATCCTGGAAATAAATCTAAAGACTCCTCAACCTACAATTTGATTATGTTGGAGTTTATTTTACATTAAAATTGAATGATGATTGTCTATCTACTATCTAAATTGTCCAGGAATTTGGTGAACATTAGGACAATTTTTAAAATAGACTGGATACGTCCATCTGAATCTCATTTATATCTAACACATAAAACTTAAAACATTTTTTTTCTCTATTGTCTTCGATATCCACATACAAGCTCTGTGTTTGGTTAAAATATTAAGTGCAAACATTTCAGCATATACTATTTAAGACATAAACAGATAACTTTTTAAGGGATTGGAAACTATTTGATGACGTTATTATGAATGATTTACACTGGAGATGTAATAGAGTTTATGAAAACCTCCTAGCTATTGAAAATATTGTACAGTTTTTGAATGAATGAAAAGGCCTTCCCTTTAAAGTTTTTGTTGCTTAGCTATTTCTAAGATTGCTCCTTTTTTGTGATACTATTTTTGTAAGAAGAAGAATCTGAATTGTGCCAGTGGCTTAAAGTATCTAGGGTTAGAACTTAGCAGATTCTCCCTGTTCCCTGTTCACCTCCCAGAGATGTTTTGGCCATTTCTTCTGCTGCTACCTTTGGGGTCCATCTCCTTCCCTTTTACCCATCAGCTTTCACTAAAGGTTGCATTCGAGGCCAAGCAGGTATCATCCAAAGACACTTTCGTGGCAGACAGGTACGTGTCAGTAACAGTGATATCCTCAAGCTCCGTGCTGAAGTGGTCTGACTCCTTGACGACGCTGTAGTTTAAAGCCACGCTGTAGTTAGCCGGCTTCTCCACTGGCTTCTGCTTGCAGTTGCACAGCTTTCTGAAGGCTGCACGGAATTTCTGGGACATGAGATTATAAATCACTGGGTTGATGGCACTGTTGAGATAAATGCAAATTCTGCAAAAGAGCAAGAACCAATTTTCTTGGAAAGGGCTGGAGAGAAATGAGTTGACAACCACAAGTGTCCTGTAGGGCATCCATAAAAGGGCAAACAGAATTACAACAACCGCCAGCATCTTGGTGACCTATGGAGAAATAGAAAGAAATTCAGTACACACACAAACGAAAACAAAATGAAATTATCCTCTCACCCCAGTCCTGACCCTTTAGTTTCTAACAAACAGTCCATGAAAAGGGTGTAGCTATAGATAATTTATCCGGAACATGATTATAGGAATTAGGATTTAGGGTGTGGGAGAGAATGAGGCAGAGGAGGAAAAGACAAAATTGTGGGTGCTAATGGGATGACTCCAGCGTGTGCTACTAGCTACTGTTGTTCAAATAAAACACTAATTAACAGTCCTAAGGAAGAGAGGCTAGGGTATTTATCCATTGGCCACCAGTTTCCATTTGTTGAAGAGTGCTCTTAGGAATTTCAGTGTGTACTTCCAGCACAGCTTATCCAGGGAGCTCCTGGGACATGAGAGAGATCCTTGAAACACAAAAGAGGACAGAACTACAGAGAACGTAGATTACCAAAGTGGAAAATTGCATGCAGCAACCATCTGCTACAGCTATGGATGAGATCAGTCAGGGCGAAAGCAAAAGTGCTATGTACCAAAACAGCTTCAAGCAGCACCAGGGGACATAGTATCTAATCTGTTCTTTGCTTATTTTATGTGCAGCCCTGAAAAATTATCCTAACATTCTTTATAGTTTATTTATAAATTGGAACTAATATTGTCCTAAAAAATAAGGTAATAAAAGCATGAAAAACATTAAACAGAAATCCAGTGGTTATTGACTGTACACTATAAGTCTGATACTATAAGCCCAATACCCAAAATCTGGGGTACAGAAGCTAAGAAGCACTTTGGTAGAAGTTGTAGGTTCTTATGGCTAGGATTAAAATCCAATAATTTAAAGATTTTGCTCTTTTCCCTACACAATTCTCTTTCAGTTTCTCCTTTAAGGGAGGTTCAGAAAAGAGACCAAATTCAGGAATTTTGCTCACATTCAGCCCTACTTGTTGTTAAGAGCAATGCGCAGGAGATAGAATTATAAGATGAGGCTAATAAGCAAGATTGCCCAGGACAAGAATATGGAACAATATGCTTTAGCAGGTTCTTGTTTCAAAAGCCTCAATGCTCATTGAGATATTGGGAACTGGCCCCAAATTGCACATCATCTGGTCTTTACTCTGATTTTAGGACTTTAATCAAGTCCTCCACTTACACATGTCTGAAACTAATGCCTCATCATATTGCTTTATTTAGTAATACAGTCATTGAGGACTAAAATAAAATTACTTTATGTTATAGGAATTTGAAATGCTAAACCGCTATGAAAATGCTATCCTTTGATTTACAACAACCAAGAAATCACAATATTTTAACTGCATCATGGGTAGTGATGATCCTCATTGTTCGGGACATAATCACTAATTGATTTTTCAAGAACAAGACATTATACATTTAGAAATAAATTATCAGTTATCTTCAGTGTCTCAGAGTTTAGCTCATTTCAGCTTCCTCATCTCATAATTGTGAATTTGATAGCTCCCTAACTCCTCCTTCCTCATTCCTCTTGGCCTCCCAGCTGTCCTCATGAAGTCTCTCCCCTCTCCCCATTCCAAGTTCCCTGTCTTGTTCTGGCTTTGAGGGGAATCATACCTTCCTTAGGGAGGGCTTTTTAATGTTATTTAGTGTAGAAACATCTCCGCATCAAGACACCTGCTCCATCATTGGTATCTGTTGTAAACTCAGTTCCATCCTCAACTCCAGTCCGGAAATAGAGGCATTTTTGTCTCCTGCCATTGTTCCTCACTGCTCTGAGTCCTTGACTCTGGGGTTCTGTCTTGCCTCTGACCAGGCCTTTTTCATCCAACTAAGAATTCTCAATGAGTCCTACATCACGGGGCCAATGCTACCCTTCGGATGTTTTCTTGCCAGATCTATAGTTACTGTGTTTTGCCTTCCTTAGTTCTACAAATACCGGTTGCCTCAGGGTTCCTCATCTCTTGACACACAAAGCCCTGATCTCAAGTGTAGCTACCCGTACCAACTCCCTGTAAAGGTACTTGTGAGCTATCCACCTGCTCTCATGGCGCTATGCCTCTTTCAGGCTCACTTTTGTGCTTTTTTTAAGCTCTTTTTTTTTCCCCTAGGAATATGTGTAAGACCCTGATGTCCCACTCATAGCACCTTGAACTCTTCTACTTCCATATTTTACGACTGGTTTCATAGAGGTTGCTTACTAAAAAGATGTAGTTTTCACATTGATTCAAGTAACACCAGGCAAGAGATTCCAGTGCTTCTGACCTTTTCAGACAGAGGATCTATTCAGCCAAAAGGCTACGTGAAGCTTTATTTTGTTTCCATAAACAGACTTTTAAGAAAGATTTTAAGTAGACAATTTAATTCAGTCCTAGGAAAATAAATATTTTGAACTTTGGAAGGAGTCATGGCGATTACTGCTTTCATTATCACAGTGGACAACATCACCATCATCACCATCCACATCCTTGCCTTTTCACACTTCTTCTATTATCAGGTCATAGTTTCACACTTAACAACATTCTCCCAACCCCTGTATAAATTTAACATCCTTTAATGGAATTCCTGGTTTGATTTATGATTACATTGGTGCCACTGCAATTGAGTCTTCTGTGATAAAACTCTCATAATATAATGAATACTGTTAAATGAT